CAGCATAAATTTTTTAATAAAAAATTTATACTGATTTGGCCTTAAACTATTTTCCACAAAGACTAGGATTAAGGCCAAATCAGTATCAAGCTTCACACCAGATGAAGTTAAACTATTGAGAGTGAATTTCCAGCCAGCTTCTTTCGAGGATGTTATTCCTGCCATCGAGGATCCTGGTATGTTTTTTGTTTTTACATTAATTAAAACTGACAATTAATTCACATATCGTACAGTTACAGTTCCGAAAGAATATCTTCTTCCCAAAATCAACCGCCGTGATGTCTCAGATCCAGATTTTAACGTTTGAAAAGCTTGATAAAGTTTCAAATAATCGAGTCAAAACGTTCCTTGATAAAATGCATGATGTTGTGATGAATGAAAAAGTGGCCACAGGCACATTGGAGTCTAAAACTGACACATTGGTGGACGATCTGCTTCGTATCGTCGACTTGAATGACTGGCCCTTGAAGTTGATGTAAGTAATTGTAGGAAAACACTGTTTGTGAGGTGCTTAATTTTGCTAAAAGTTTGTATCTATCAAAACCCAGAAATCATCCGCTATGTAGACTAGTCATTAAAGAAAACCAATATGTTTCAGCAGACCCCGAATTTGTGATTGCTAATCGAAAATTAAGTATGGTGGCTATAGAGGTCAGAATGTTTAGTATTTGATCTTCTTATTGTTTAATAAACCGTATTGATATCAAAAAACCGTTTAACAGGACAAACATATCAAAAATGTTTGGAAACCAAGCGGTTTCGGGGAAACACAAATTGCCGTACAGATTGTTGCCTGCGGAAATGAGAACATACGTGCCACTAGTAAAGAGGAATTTATTAACCAAACCATATTTGCTATGCGCGTCATCTCAACGTACGTGACATTTTACAAAGCAGTAATCCCTGCAGAATATTGGCCCGAATTTGATCATGGTCTACCCAAAGAGGCATCAGTTAACGTTAAAAGATGGCCAGGGGAGAATGGAAAGCAGGAAGGTCTGGATTTAGTAGAACCAGATGGGAGACGAGAAGTGCTGGGAGCATTAACTAAAATTCGCCAATTTCTTCTGCGGAATGAACAATCTGGTACTACAATACAAAATGTGACGACGAATGATAATACAGACAGTGGTAAAGAAAAATCATCGAGTTAGTGCGGATTAATTATGCTACTCATGTCATCTGTGAATAGGTCATAGACTTGTATTCGCATCTTTAGAAAATTAACATGTATGCCTATAAAATTAATGAAAGCACGATTTCTTTTTATTGCTTGAACGTTACAAAAAAATAACGTACAGTACATATGGTTCACTTCGTTTTACACGTGGGTAACAAATATAGGGTATTTAAAGTTTTAAGTTTACTCAATAAGACCCAATTCTCGAAGATGCTCTGGAATAACTATATATGAGGCAGAAATAGATATATTTTTGGAATTGGGCAAAAACCATATGACGCATTTATTAAACTGAATCCCAAAAACAATAAACTAATATAATTATCACGTCAAACCCATCTTCCCACCTTAAAACACCTTAAAACCCATCTCCTTTTACTGTTAAATTCATTTCTTTTACATTAAATTCATCTCTTATAAATATACGTATAGTCAAATGACTTGCCTCACTATCATAACTATGTCATAAATTTAGGGTAGTGTAAAAAGTCGCCCTAATGTATACAGTATATTATTATTTAACAAACTAATAAAAATATTATTGTAAAAAATACGTCCCGTACGGTACGCCATTAAAGTTAACCGGTTAAGTTAAATAATTCTGATAATAGTAATTATATAGTGAGAAGTTTTCTTTTTGACGTTATTTGGTTGATTTTTATAAAATATAAAACCTAGAAAATTTTTTACGTATAAAAATGTATTCAAGTCTGAAGCTAAAAAATTAAACATTTGATAACAAGAGTTAACAGATGATTGATTATACAATGAACTCCTCAAGGGTGGTAGGCCACGGCGTCAGGCGTAACCTGACTCAACAGCTTGAGCAAGATGTTTCTCGCCCCATTCACATCTCTGCCCATTATGTGTTGTTGACGCATCAATTATTATTATTGACGTACCCTAATGTACTGTACTAACCCCGAAAATAAAGCAAGGACTCGGACAATTTCTCGATTTTTACCGCATTTGCTTGCAGCCTGTTGTGCAACTGCCAATCCGCGCCCCTCAAGTCAATCTACCTAACTATAGTAATAAAATCTTGGCCACAACGGTTTGTTTTTTTTTTAAAAAAAAAAAAAACCAAAAAGGCGTTCTATTTTAACTTTGGGGTCTCTATTCCTATTCCTTGACCCCAATTATTTTTTAAAGAAGTGGCTATTTGTAATGAAGGAAAAACCACAAATAGAAATAGATGGTATCCGCATATAGTTACCAAACAATTTGTAAAGTTTGTAGTCACAAGCAATTCCCGCAAGAAAATACATGTAATGATCCTTGATATCTCTGGCTGTGCGCGATTCGTTCATAGCATGTGCATTTCGTATGTTTCATCGCTACTTAGCGTTAATGTGTTATCTATTAACGTTAAATTCGGTTATGCGATGTCACGTGATTGTCCATTGGTTTAAATGTTTTTTACCTACTAAGTGCCTTATCGAAAATGTCGCGTCCGACTGAAGAAAGAAATCAAGATGCCACTGTATACATTGGAAACCTTGACGAACGCTGTACAGAAGCTTTGATTTGGGAGCTAATGCTTCAGGCTGGCCCAGTTGGTAAGTCTTATCCTTCTATCGGCTATTTTATCTTTTCTTTATACTGAAATAATCTTTTTTTGTAAAAGTTAACGTCCATTTACCGAAGGACCGTGTTACTCAAACGCATCAAGGTTATGGATTTTGTGAGTATATGAGCGAAGAAGATGCTGATTATTCTATAAAAATAATGAATCAAATTAAACTATATGGAAAACCTATTCGTGTCAATAAGGTATGTTTAATCTGTATTATCAATGGAAGCCACTGGAAGTCAAAATTAACAGTACTATTGGAACTTTTACTACTATAAAACCCATTGGAAGCAAAAAAGTTGATAACACTGTGTTTATGATTCTTAAAATGTCTACTATACGATCAAATTAATTTATATTTATGATTTCTATCTAAACAGGCAACTTCTGATAAAAAGAACTTGGATGTTGGCGCTTCATTATTCATCGGCAATCTGGATCCCGATGTTGACGAGAAAATGTTATATGATACCTTTAGTGCATTCGGTGTTATTGTGCAGACTCCTAAGGTGCTTGCACCTTCTTGAATTCTTTTTGTGTTATGTACACTGACCCTCGTTAATATCAGCCTAAACAATAATATGAATTACTATATCATTATATCAACTTTAATATGATCCCTCATTAATATCATTATTAACATGAATATAAAAGTGATCCAAATGGGTTGATATTAGCGAGGTCAAGTGTATAAATTTTATATGTTAACTAATATGAACTTGATTTTTGTTTTTTTTTTGCTTTTATAGATCGCAAGGGATCCAGATACTGGAAATAGTAAAGGGTATGGCTTTATTTCTTACGATAATTTTGATTCATCCGATGCTGCAATCGACGCTATGAACGGTCAATATTTGATGAATAAATCGATCACCGTATCATATGCATTCAAAAAGGATGGTAAAGGAGAGAGACACGGAAGTGCCGCTGGTATGTGTTGTCCTCGACTACAATGATTGATCTTATGAATATTGTTAATTTCTTATACATGTTTCATTTTATAGAGCGTTTGTTGGCTGCACAAGCCAAAAAGAACCAAAGTTTACCGAACCGTCTCTTTGCTGACATTCGACCGCTAGCTCCTCAGCCAATCATAGCAGCACGACCAATCGCTCCTAATCCTCCAATCGTTAGTGCATTGTCACGACCTGTTGCATTACCATCACAAATGGGTCCTCCATCGAATATATATGGAGGATATCCTGCTCCTGGAACAACAAATCAATCACAATCCCCACCTAGACCACCTGCTATGAACGGGACTAGGGTCACGACCCAAACCTTTTTCTAACTCATGACATTACATAGTCTGGATTTGAAAATCGCATCATTTAGGATAATAACCATTCACAGTCAATAGTGTAAAATTCAAGACCCAATCAAATTTGTTAAATCAATGCTATTTTCATTAAAACTTCGTTATTTTTATTTTCAAATTAATAATTTAAGAGGGATATAACGACTAAGAGGTTACATTGAATAAAGTGATATGCTACAGTAAGTCTAATTGTTATATCAAATACTCGTACAATATGCGGAAATTCTATTCTAACCTGGGTTAAAGTCACCCAAACTATTACTAATACTATCAATTTTAGGAACGTGACCGCCCTTATAGCTTATCAGCCCGAGTGAGAATAGAATTTTTAGAAAATAAAAAAATTTTTTAACATCCAAAATAAGCGTAAACATTGTTGATCAACTCTAATTGTTAATTAATAAATTAATTACCTGTAATTAGACCAGAATCTATATGGCAAGTTAAGAGAATTCAACAAAAAATTTATTTATAGTTTGTGCGGTTTGCAAAATTATGTGAAATTTGAAGATCAATAAAAAAAAAAGTAATCGTTAATTTCCGATTTCTTCATTTTTTTTTGACTTTTAGACTAAACAAAATTTGCGCATTTATCATTTGTAAAAATTTGATTGGATATTTTAATGCGCAACTCCTATTTTTATATGGGCCCCCAAAAAAAGGGATTTACTTATTTGCGCAAGTGATACAA